ACTCGTAAGTATACTTAGAAAGTTAGGTAATGGAACAGGACGACCGTTTTTGTTTTCGTTTTTTTTTTATTATTATTGTCATAATCCGGATAACAGTACTTTTTTTCTTTTTTTTTTCTTTTTTTACAAGAATGGTGTCAATCAACAGGCTTCTTTTTTGTGAGGACGGTTTCTATCACCAACTAATTTTTTTTTACAAGAATGATGTCTATTAGTAGCTTTTTTTCCCCAAGAAGGGTGTATATTACCAGTTTTTTACGTGTTTTTACAAGAATGGTGTCTTTTCCCATTTTTTTTTTACAAGAATGGTGTCTCTTACTACAGTTTTATTTTTATTTTTTTTTACAAGAATGTTGTCTATTCCCAGTTATTTTCGCTCCTGTTTTTACATCATTCTGTGCTGCCTTCCCACCGACTACCATATTTCCCAACACTCCCACACTTACTGACACCTTTCCACCTTACCAACACAAGACCGACATTCACTATAACAACACTGATATCAGGAAGATCTATATTTCAAATCACCAACAGTAATAATAATGATGATGATAATAATGATGATAATGACAACAGCAATATCAATAATAATGATGATAATGATAACGATACCAATAATGATAATGAGCATAATATTACCAGTTATAATAATAAAGCAAAAAAGTGCCACAAGAACGAAAATAACACCAGTGATAACGATAATAACAACAAAGATAACATATATGATATAGCAGAGTAATAATAATCGTGATAATGATAATGGTGATCATGAAATGGTGATAATAACGTTAACAATGACTGACAATAATAATGATGATCATGATAATCATAATGATAATATCAATATCATTTATGGTAATAATAATGATAATAATGACAATAACGATAACAATAACCATAGCAATGATAATAATAATAATGATAATAATAATAATAATAATAACAATAATAATAATAATAATAATATTGATAACAATGATGATAATAACAACAATAATAATATCAATCATAATAATGATTATGATAATAATGACAATAAATTAAAGAAATGATAGTAGTAAGGGTCATAATGGTAATAACTATAACAATAATAATAACAATAAAAAGAACAGTAATATTCATGATAAGGATGATGAATTTATTAATGTTTGAAATAATGATGATGATGATCATTATCATAATAATAATAATAACAATAATAATAATAATAATAATAATAATAATAATAATAATAATAATAACAATAATGATAATAATAATAATAACACTAACAATAATGATAAAATAATATGATAATAATAATAAAAATAATATGATGATAATAATAAAAATAATATGATATGATGATAATAATGGTGATAATGATGATTATAATCATAATGATTATCATGATAATAAAGATAATAATAATATCAAGGATAATAATAATAATAATAACAACAATAATAATAACAATAATAATAATAATGATAATAATAATAAAGATAATAATTATAAGGATGGTAATAAGAATAAGAATAATGATAATGATACCAATAATTATGGTAATAACAATAAGAATAATGATAATAATGATAATAACAATAAGAATAATGATAACATTGATAATGATAATAATGATAATTATGATAATAATGATAATAATAATAATAATAAAAATAATAATAATAATAATAATAATAATAATAATAACAATAATAATAATAATAATAATACAAATTGTTATAAGTAATGATAATGATAAACATAATAACAATAATAATGTTAACAATGACAACAATAACTTGATAACATTAATGGTAATCTACCCGCCCCCCCCCCCCACCAAAAAAAAAAAAAAAGTCAAATAAACCCCATCTATCCTTTAAAAAAAAAAAAACAAAAAACACTCCAAAACAAGAATGAAAAAAAATAATAAATAAATAAAATAAAATAAATGAATAAATCGCCACACTAAGACTTCTTCCCAGGCGGCATATTGACTCCATACAGCTCTCGCATCTGGTTCCTCAAAGCAATCTCCTGGTGTCTTGTTTCGTTGATGTAGCGCTGAACTTCCCTCGAATAGGCTTCCCTGGTGGTGGTGGAAAGGATGAGTGTGGTAATTGCAAGGACTCATGCGGTAGATAGTGCGACGCTGATGATGGTGGTGGGAAGTGGATAATGGTAATAGGTGCAAAACAAAATTATTATGATGATAATATTGGTATTGATAATAATAATAAGAAGAAGAAGAATGATAACGGTAATAGTAATAATAATAATCACAATAATAAGGATATTGAATGATAATGATAATAGTGATCATAATAATAAGAAGAATAAGAATAAGAAGATGATAATAAGAAGAAGAATAAAAATAAGAATATGATGATAATGACAATAATAACAACTAATAATAATATTGATAACAATAATAATAATAACAATAATAATAATAATAATAATAATGATATTAGTAATAGTAATAATAATAATGATAATGATAATGATAACGATG